AAAGGTGCTTCATTTACAAGGAGCAAGAGGGGACCATGACCACAATTGGTTTTGTTTCTGCCTTTCATGAAGATCTTGGGCCTCTTGGAGATAGAGAGAACAGTAATTCTGCCTGATTTAATGCTTTCTGTCTCTTAGCCTGGCCTTGGAGTAAGTCAAGTAAAACTGCACAACACAGTAAAACCCAGCGTGGACTACGTCTGCCAGCTCAAGTTCCCATCTGGCAATTACCCTCCCTGCATCAATGACACCAGAGACCTACTCGTGCACTGGTGCCATGGAGCACCAGGTGTTATCTACATGCTTCTCCAGGCCTACAAGGTACCGGAAATCTTGCAGAGACCCTTTAGGAATCCCTAAATGTCAAACTCCATCATGGAGAAAGCTCTGTTGAGACCCTGCCTGCCTGAGAGTAGGATTGCTGGTTAAAATGAAATCATCCCATGGGGACCACTGGCTGATAGAGAAATCAGTCTCTTAAAATTATATCTGAAAATGGCCATCAGCTGCATGGGGTGTCCTGTTGCAGCTGACTGGTGACAATAGTGTGCAAAGTAATGATCACACAGCCCCATTCATCATATCAAAACCATCCTCCTTTAAAGTAGAGAGCAAAGTCATAGCATTAAGACTTCAGAAGGAGAGCGACCAATTAACCCAAGCCTCCCCATCACACAGGGATGCTCTTTGTATAGAGGAGATTGCCTCAGTAAGGGGGAATATTTCTTGTCTCTACAGGTCTTTGGGGAACAGCAGTACCTAAATGATGCCCTGCAGTGTGCAGAAGTCATCTGGCAGTATGGGTTACTGAAGAAAGGTTATGGACTGTGCCATGGCACAGCTGGCAATGCTTACAGCTTCCTGGCACTGTATAACCTCACTCAGAACATGAAATACCTTTACAGGGCCTGCAAGGTAAGAGCCTGTGTGAGAAAGGGAGAGGGGATCATTCTCTTCTACCTTTTACATCACTGCCATTGCCTTTGAAATCCGATTTCTAGTGTGGCAGAGATGCAGCTCAGATCTGAGCAGCTCCACCAGAGTAGTCCTTCAGCAGCACAGTCACTGTCTGACAGCCTGTAGAGCAGGAACATCCTGCAGAAGCCTTGCTCTGGAAGGAATAATGTGAGGATGAAGGTGGTATTGTAAGATCTGTTGTTAACAAAACCTGAACACCTTTTGTTCCTCTTTCCTCAGTTTGCAGAGTGGTGTTTAAGCTATGGCCAGCATGGGTGCCGGACTCCAGACACTCCATTCTCTCTCTTTGAAGGTAACCTTCATCTCTAGGCTTGTGTTTTGCTCCTGGGTCTGAGCCAGTACAGCACCAAAGAAACCCAAATACATGCTCCACTGAAGTGTTTGCAAAAGTCAGTATAGAAGATGGGGAGGAAATTGTATTCCCTGTTCTTACCCTTTTTCCCAGAAGCAGTCTGCTTTCAGCACAGGCTGTCTTAGCTGGAGCATCTTGTCCTCTCTGGCCTCTTGTACAAATCCTGCACGCAGGTGTCAAGGGGAATTCCGTAATGGGTACAGGCCAAAGCCTGCCTTATAGTAATCTGTATCCTGGTTTCTTGGACAGCCTCTTTTCCATGCATTTTTAAGGATTAAAATCCTTCATGAGCTTTCCAGTGCCATTCCAAAGGTGAGTGAGTAACAAATGGGGCTGCTTTTATAAGACTCATTGGTTCCTATTGGCACCTTATGGCTCCTGCTAACAGTTCCCCCCAAAATCCACCATCACCTGGTATTACTGAAAGAGCAGGTTCCTCAGCTAACAGGGATCTCCCTGCCTTTGCCACAGGCCAAGGAACAAGGGCAGTTACCTCAGCAGGGACCTGAGGCAGCAATGTCACAGGGTCCAAAGTTTTGCATAGACAGTCGTATTGTTAAACCTGTGGGTAAGTAAAGCAGGAGGGGGGGAAGATCCCTCAGGTGCTTTCCAACATCTGATGAACTTCAAGATGCTTCCCCACTGGCATACCTAAATTGTTTGTGAAACTTCAGACCTCGGAAGTCATTTAGGACCATCTGAAAACATCTTTCTTTCTTCTGTCTTTATGACCCATTCAGCCCCTGATAGGAAGGGTGCCCATGGGGAATCTCTCTGAAGCACGTTGTGTTTTCTGACCCTCAGGAATGGCTGGAACGATTTATTTCCTTGCTGACCTGCTGGTGCCAACCAAGGCCAAGTTCCCTGCATTTGAACTCTAAATCTGAGCTTGGCAGTTTCATGCCTGAATCCGTCTGCACTTGGAAATGCAGTTTGGATCCGCTTTCTCCTTCCGAAGTCATTGTTGTTCACCTAACTGAAGGGAAACCCATCCTCCTGAGTTCTCTAATACTTCTAGTCATCTCATTGCATTGTTTCCATTTAAAAGACAGAATGCAGGTTTGGCTGGTGTCTTAAAAACACAGGGCTGCAGGTGGGAGCAGGGAGAAGATACACAGTATTCTGTTGGCTAGAGTGTTCTGCTGTTTTTTGTATCCCATTTCCTGTATCCTGTTTCCTGGGTGAAAGTTTTCTATTGAATGCATCTTTCGCTGTTTATTATTTTGTGCTGACAAATACTAGCAGGGATTTGGTTGCCTTTGGAAAACAAAAGATGAAAAACTGGGACTATTGGCCTGCAAGTTGCTTGTAAGAGTTTCCTGCCTGAACACCCAGGGAACAGGCAGTTCAGTATCTGGGCTGCTCCACATAAAGCAAATGTGATGGGCTGTGGAGAGTTTGTATATGTTTTTTAAACATCAAATTGCAAGTGGCACAGCTGGGTCTGTCCTGAATTTCCACTTACCTGCTTTAAAGACAAAGGCTATGTATAACTTCTGTGCACTTTTTCCCAGTGACAGACAAATAATCCACTGGCTTTTGTGCCTATTTGCCATGTTACGCTAAACCTTGCAAAAGGCCATTGATCATCTAATGGTAAACTCCAAAAGTGAGCTAAGCATGCTTGCTGGTGTGGTCTCTTCTGCTTAGCTTTGAAGGTTTCTTATGAAGTCTTTTGTTACAGTTGTATATGAATATGATGGGTGAGAGGTGGTTCCAGGCCCACCAGCAGCAGCATGGGAAAAGCAACGTATTCCACTGAGTTCTGCCACCTTTAACCTATTCCCTGTATGGATGTTGTTTACATGCTTTTATAAGCTTTTCTGAACCTGGATAATTTGAATCACTTGTTTGCCTTGTTACTGCTTCTTGTAGTTTGATATGCAACCACACATCTACCCACCTGGAACATCTGCTCTAGGTTAAATAGGTTTGACCCATTGAGCAGATCAGATACTTGCAAGGGACTTGATCCTGTAAAGGACATTCTTAGCACTGAGCATAAGCTAAGCACTGAGCACAGTGAAAAAGCTACTGATGCAGCCATAGTGCTTGATGCTGTTTGAGAGCAGCTCCTCAGCCTGCACAAGCAGCCTCCAAGCCAGCACTCCTGCACCAGTGACAGTGAAGCAGAAGGACCAAACCTGCCACACTAACACAGCTAGCTCCCATGCTTGAATGCAAGGTAGCCTAGCCACAGCATAGGCAGACCCTCAAGAACCTCCTGGATGGGCTGCTCCAGCAAAGAGTAGAAACCATTCCTGGAAGGCTACTTGTTTCCTCAAAACCCAGCCTCCTGCTGCCATCACATGTTTCTCAAAGTTCATCCAAAGACGGCCTGAAATGCAGAGAAGCTCTATCTGCTTTGGGCTGGGCATCCCTGTTGGAAGCCTCAAGCTCGTGCAAACCTTTCCCTGTCATTCACAGAGCCTAAACAACACAGGGAGGTGACTGGAAAGGAGGAAGCACAGCCCTGAGGGCAGGATTTGGCTAATCAGACAGTTTGGGGGTAGGATCCTGCAGGACATGAGGTCTGCTGTCAGTTACCTTCCGGCTTGGCTGGTGTGATGGCAGTGCAGGACACTGCTCTGAGCCTGGGTTTCTTCTGGGCACTGCTGCTGCAAAGGAAATAGTTCCTGCAGCCTGGTGCCATGGCAGCATCAAGTCCCAGGGTTGGTACACTGATGGTCAGGGGATCATCAGGGTCCATGCGTATTGGTGTACAAGTGTTTTGTGGAGCACTGTTTAATAAAAACACCAAAACTACTGAACTTTGTGTTATTTTTACCCCCAGCTTTATGATGAGGATTCATGTCCAAAGAGATCAAGAGATGCCACAATAGCTGCTCTGGGGGCTCACTGGCCTCCCACCCACCCTGAGTGTGAAGAGTATTTCACATTTTTCCCTGTGTCCCAGCACGTGCAGTTGATTTGTTGCAAGAGATTTTATGTTTAAATAAGTTTTTTCTTACAGGGAAGAACAACTCAGGTTCCTCATGTTCCTGCCCAGAATGCCTGAGCCCCTTTGCCACAGTGTCCCCTGCATCAAAAAAGCCTGAATGGAAAACCTATACCCAGACCAGGAAATCTAAACCCCAAGAGTTACAACATTGTGAAGTGACTGAAGACAAAACCCAGTAGAGGAGGAGGCAGCATATCTGCCCAAAATAAGCATCTGAGGAAGGATACATTTACAGAATCAATCAGGTTGGAAAAGCCCTTTAAGCTCATCCAGTCCAACTGTTCCCCAGTACTGCCAAAGCCACCACTAACCCATGGCACTGAGGGGGTCATCCACATGGTTTGTCAACATGCTGGGACACAGCTGGGCTGGCCCCTAGCAGGAACACTGGGTCCTGGTGGCCTCTGGAAAGGGCTGGGTGGACCCAGCAGGTAGCAATGCAGCTCGGCAGCAGGAGCCACCCAGCCACTGCCAAGCACCCCTGGCAGCTAAATCCCACCTGAGAGTTGTCGTTCAGCTCTTGGGTAGCCCTGGGAATGTCATTCAAACCAGACAGCACACACAGGTGAGGCTGTACTGGAATACTGCGTGGGATGACAGAGATGGGAGAAACGTGGACACCTCTCAAAAGTGCATAGCCTCTTAAGTGAGTCCTATGTCCTTAGAGCAGGTTCCCACCATCACGGTACAACCCAATGGCACAACTGACCTTTGAAAGCAGACGATGAAGGTCTCTGTGTCAGGCACAAGGCACAGCTGCTCTGAGAGCCAAAGAGGACCGTCACATCTTGGCATCCCACAGGATTTTTGCTGTTTCAGAATCAAAACCACTTCCTCAAAAGCTGTTGGGGAAAAGCAGAACAAAAGCTCTCATTACAGCTGCAGCTTTGAGACAAAGCTTGCTATTGCCTCACCCACAAAGCTTTGTGTTCCCAAGTGTTGGTTTCACTCCCAGCATAGTGGTCCCTACTGTTTCCTCCTGCAGCAGATCTGCCTGAACACACTTCTGGTTTTACCTCTCTCCTCAACCCCTTCACCCACTCGTTTCTGTCTCCATGCTGCCCTTTTTGGGGAAAAGGGTGGTGGATTTTACACAGCACAAATCCAGTGTACAGCACAACAGCAAGTGGAAGGCAAAACGCCATGCGGGAGGAAGGCAGAACCAGTTTAGCACAAGGAAACCTGTGCCCTCCCTGCATATCTCACAGGGAGCAAGCGTCTGAACACAGCCCAGGACCACCCGAGGGCGGTATTTGGGCCATCTAGATGCTAAGAGTTGCCAGCAGAAAGGGGAGAAGAGGATTATTTTTCACAATGCCCTCAACTCCAGAGGCACATTCCCTCTGCTTCTCCCGGAGGGTGAAAGATGGCAAATCTAGCCAGAAAGTACAACAGATCCTGTAATGGACAGCCACCCTTGAAGCCTGTGGATGGCAGTACACTGCTCTGCTTCCTTCCAGCCAGTGATGGAGAAGGCACAGAGGCAGCACCAAAACCAACTTGAAAGCCTTAGGAAGGGAATGTGGGGAGCCATTTAGCTCCATCTCCTCATAGCTGGGGCATTTCTTGCTGGCAGGACACGTGTGAGGCAGCCCTTGTGAAAAGCTCATTCTGCAGCCAGTTTGCTGCAGCGTTTGCAGTGATCTCGGGCAGTAACTGAATCCACTGGTAGTACTTCACCATCCCTAAATCCCATTGGAGCCGGGCCCAAAAATAGTTACTGTGGAGCATGCAGCTGCATGCAGGGTGGGAGCAAATGTTCCACATAACGGCTGTTGGCTCTGATCAGCTTGAGGAGTCAATCATATTTCCACCATTTGGCCGAGTTCTATTATAATTATTCCTCCTTAAGGATAGTCCTCACTAGTGCAGGGGAGACCCCAGTAGTGCCAAACAGCTTCCTTGCAGGGGATACCCAATGTACCCCTTAAGGTGCAGAGGTACTCCCTATTCTCAGAAGCTTTTTGGAGCTGTTTTGTAGCACTTTGCTCTGTCACTGAGGTGCTCCTCTTCCATGCTGATGCTCCCAGTAGTAAACAGGAAGGGATCAATCTGATCATTACAAGTGGCTGGGAAAATTAAGAGAGAGAAACCTCAGAAGACAAAGTCTAAGAGACTGCAAGAGGGTCACCATGAAACATAAGCTTTGGATGAGAGCACCTCTTATATCCAGGGATACCCTTATCAGGAATTCATAGTTCATTTATCCCCGTGGGAAAGAGGACAAACCCCATCTGGGTGCAGCTTCAGTGGGTTGCAGTTAGGTGAAAGCCACACCAAGGTACAGCCCAGCAGCTCCAGAACAGGGCTCACCACCCACCAGACTGCAGTGCTGAGTGTTTAAAAGCCTGACAAATTGACGTGCAGGAAGCTGGGCTCTGGACCAGAAGTGGGAAGTTGCCAGTGGAAGCATTTGGGAAGCCCTGGTGATTCATCACCACAGAGGATGGATAAATTCCAGGGTGTTTATACCACCCAAAGCTGGGAAATATCCTGTTCCAGCAGGGCTGAGCCCATGCTTTACAAGCACACAGAGAAGACAGAGACTGATGTAGGGATCCCAAATGAGTACAGATGTGTCAGCACACAGACCCTTTTAAAACAGGACAATTGCCTTTCCCCTCTCTTTTATTATCTTCACAATACCAATAGCTCCAGTTCCCTGGTTTTCATCAGCAATAATCTCATCCCTTCACTCCAGTAACCATTTAGCCTTGCACTGCATAGTCCATGAATGCCAGTGTTGAATTACTGCCTTGTAAAACGAACGAGCAATGATATTAGCACTTAGTTCCCATACCCCTGATTTGTGACAGGCGATATCAGCAAGGGTAAAATAAGACATTCTCTTACCCTGCTTTTCTCACTTGAAGATTTAAATATATGCTTTATAATAAGAGGGCCTGACCTGGGACTCTTCCCAGCAGCAGTTCTCACAAAGCCTATAGAAAGGTGATCACCTTCCTACACTTCTGTCCTTTCTAAATTGGCTGAAATAGTCCAAAAGACACAAACATCACTGGGAGAATACAGAAATATGGACAAGCAAGGCAAGTCCTTAAGCCTCACCTTCTTAGGAAACCAGGCCAAGAACAGTGAATCATATTACTCTGAGCATGGAAGTTGCAGCCAAACTATTGGCTTAGCAAATGTATTAGATGTACCTGAACAGAACTCTTCAGTGATCCATGTGCAGCTTGGATCTCCCTTAGATAAAATGAGGGATAAATTCCCCAGTGAATGGCACCATTTGGGAGCATTAGTAGCCTAAACACATTTTCTACTGTAAAAGGTTTATGCTGTGCCCATGCAGGCCAAGCTGAGCCCTTTAATGATTTCAGATGATGGAAGTTTCACATCCCATCCTGCCACCACTTCTGATCCAAATGAGATGCAGCATCCACATGGAAAACTCAGGTTTGCTCCAGCAGCTGTCTTCTCTGTATGATCAGTTCAGGATGGTGCCTTCAGACCACTTCCAAAGGCAGCTTTGGGAGCTCTACTAGGAACTGGGAGAAAGCCTCAACGCATGTGGGACCATAGGGTTGGGCTCCAGCCTAAAAAGTTTCTATGTGATGCCCTAACGATGCTCTAATCACCATAATTTCACCAAAAGAACAAAAACTTGGAGGAGAGGGGCTGGAGGTGATGTCTGAAAGCTGCTCAGGTGAGGCAGCTCGTTCTAGTGGATGTGATCCTGCCCCTTTACTCCGCTCTTGTGAGACCCCACTTGCAGCACTGTGTGCAGCTCTGGTGTCCTCAACGTCAGAAACACATGGAGCTGTTGGAGCAAGTCCAGAGGAGGCCATGAGGATGATCAGGGGACTGGAACACCTCCTGTATGGAGACAGGCTGAGAAAGTTGGGGCTGTTCAGCCTGGAGAAGAGAAGCTGTGTGGAGACCTCAGAGCAGCCTTGCAGTGTCTGAAGGGGGCCACAAGGATGCTGGAGAGGGACTCTTCATCAGGGACTGCAGTGATAGGACAAGGGGTGATGGGTTCAAGCTGAAACAGGGGAAGTTCAGGTTGGAGATAAGGAGGAAGTTCTTCCCTGTGAAGGTGGTGAGGCACTGGCACAGGGTGCCCAGAGAAGTGGTGAGTGCTCCATCCCTGGCAATGTTCAAGGCCAGGTTGGACAGGGCTTGGAGCAACACAGTCTAGTGTGAGGTGTCCTTACCATGGCAGGGGGGCTGGAGCTGGATGATCTTAAGGTCCTTTCCAACCCTAACTATTCTATGATTCCATGCGCTTTGCCTTCAACTGGGACTCAGCAGCCAAATCGACTTCCTCTGTCTGCAACTGCCAAGCTGAGCTCCTCCAACAAGTGATTCAGATGCTCTCTGCTTTGGTTTTCTCCCATTTCTATTGCTTGTTTCCCAGCAGTTCTGAGGGAGGGTTTCTCATTATTTCCTGGTGTCTGCACATCACAGAGACCCCAGCTAGAGCTTGAACTCTGAAAACATTTGCATTTGCTATATTGAAAATAGTAACAATTTTACAGCACCTTCAAAATGCTCACAAGCTGCCAAGGAAGAAATCGGTACCCAAAACCCCAAGTGTACAAATACAGAACTGAAAGCAATGCGAAATTAATGCTCTGTCTCCAACATTATGCCTTTCGAGTCTTGTGAGAGAATACCTTGGGGAAAAAAAGTGCTTCATTTCCCAGGCAAAGAAACATCTGAATCATTTCTCCTATGATTAACCCTTTACCATCATGCCCTGCAGCTGGGACTGGATTCACAGCCATCAGGAGGGCAGCAGCATCCCACATCTCACAGATAGCTGCCAGCCCTGTTGCTTTGCAAACTTCCCTTCTCCCTGCCTCTGGCCAGGCCTGCCAGCTCAGCTAGAAGGGGGGGAAAGGTGGGCAGAACACCCCCTGCTCCCAGCCAGCATTGCCCAGTCCTGGGAGCTTGCAGGAGGTGTGCTCAGTGAAGGTAGGTGCCAGGAAACTAGACTGAGGTGGAGTATTCTCTGTTAGGATATGGATCACAGCCCTGCCCTTTGCCTACATGCAAGCCTACCCCATAGGAGCTCTGAAGAGCACACAGCAAGGAAACTATCATCAGGTCTTTAAAAACACCATGAGGGGCTTTACTTAACCACTGCAAAGGTCACTTGCCTGCATGGAAAACTGAGTTATAATGAAGCGTACCACGTTTGCCAGCCAGAACTGTCAGAGAGCTGATAGAAACAGCAAGGCTCTCTTGGCCATCCATTCTACAGCATCCCAAGAGCCCCGGTAGCTGTTGGGCACATCATCTTCAGTTCCAGCTAAACCACTGGACATAACCTTTAGATGTGACACAGAGCTGGGAGCCTGCATGAACACAAATTTAGGAATGGATGAAAAGACAACACACAGAGGGAAAAGAGTCCGACTGGCATTTTGCAATGGCCATGGAAGGTGAAAAGTGGCATCCTTTAGGACCAGACAGAAGGTGGTAAGAAATGCATTAAAAAGAAATAGAAGGCAGCATACTAAGAGTCTCTTCTGACCCTAAAACAGGGAGCTAGAAACCACACTGAACTGTGATCTTAAAATGAACTGGAAATGAAATGCCCTGTATCTCTGCTTTCCAGAGGGACAGAGCACTTTCTGTTTTAATCATGAAAGCACTGGGATGGGAATTGAGGCCCCACGGTGTGGCCACTGCACAGACTTGCTCTGGGCCCAGAGCTCAGAAAGGAAAGGTGTACCTGGTCCCATCAATTCAGCACCCAAGCATTCACAGGCAACACCTTTGTGCTGGGTACCTGAATCCTGTTTGTACATATTTTCCTAGCTCTCCCTATCCCTTGAACCCACTTACCTGAGGCCTTGCTGTATTTATGTCTTTG